CAAAAAATACTGGACGTTCTGATTGGTCACGGGATCCACGCCAAAAGCCTCCTTGTACTCCAGCACTCCCTGTGCCATGGTGGGCACCACATTGTTGTGTCTGTTCCTGACATTGATCAGCGTTTCTGTGAATCTGAGAGACATGCCATCCAGTTAAACACACTATTAGAGGTCACTTAGAGCAGGCTGCAGCCAAGTTAAACTAAATGTGTTACATTCATGAAGGACTTCGGATTTCTCAGAATGCTCCTGAATACTGTACTTACTTAGTTAGGATGTTTTTATCATCAGGGTCTTTCTCCAAAAAGTCAACAAGCTCCATCAGACTCTGCGCATACCTGTTTTTGAGAGTAAACAAACAGTCAGGGTTTATTTTTAGGCTGGCTTATATACAACTCATAAATGTGATTTATTAATTGATTAATAAATTAACTGTATATTCCATTTCAGTTTTCAACTAAATGAAAACTTTAATTTCGGTTTCAGAGTTTTGCTTTAAAAAAATCATTTAGGTGCATCACTATATCTAAATGAAACAATACTGAATTAAATCGAATGAGATCAGAATCAAATTGCATTGAAAACATGTGAATCAAATTGAATTGTGCACCAATACCCAGCTCTATTTGAAACACAGCCATAATGCACCGCACACATTATGTAATACTGTGCATTGTTTCCTTTGAACAACAAAGCCAATATAGTTGTTTGTCTGAATGGCTAAAGGAGGTGCAAAGCACTGACAGGTATTTACTCTAAACACGGATCCAATTCTTATCACTGCTTTCCCAAAGCTGAATGGTAATTAAAAAGCTTTGCATGGATAATTTAATGGTTAGAGTAAATCATGACCCCCATGTGACAGTTGGCAAGGGAGACGTGTTGCATGGAGAACAATAGTCGTACATGTTACACAATGAACGCACTGTACTAGCTAAAATCCTAAATCTGAATGACAGTGTTCTATGTCAGTGTGCCGCATTGTCAAAGAGGACTTGTTTACACTGAGACCTCTAGGAAGGTTGCAGCGCACACTTGTTTGTGTACAGTGTCTTATGATATCTGACACCACATAACATTTTGATGAACACATTTGAAAGTTACATATAGTTCACGTTTTGATCTCAGCATGATTCTAGAGATTCTTGAGTTTTGAGGACAAGGACCCTGAAACAAACAGACTATCACATATGAAGTTATAAAAATATTTTTTTACAACAACAAATCTGTTTCATACAGGAAAGACCAAGGGCAATTGTAGCATTTTGTACATTGTCCATTATAACGCACAAACTATTACAAATCTACCTTTTATTTGCTCTCCAACTTAGAAGGTCCTTATCGAAAAGCCTTCATGGTCACCTTTCGTTTGAAGTCATGTGCTGAAACTATGTCATATGAGTTGTAAAAAGTTAAGAGAGAGTCTAGAGTAGGCTGAAATTCACCACAGTGGAGCATATGGCACTTCAGGCAGTCTAGAACAGCATGTCAGCTGTGGATCTCACCAGCTATGAAGC